CTCTGCCATGGGCTCTCACCTGAATGTACTACCTCACCACAGGCCCAAAAGCAATGAGCTGAAATAATAGGTAACTAATAATGGACAGAAATCTCCAAAACTGTGACACAATAAACTTTTGTCTTTATACCTTTGTTATTGCACAGGGTTTTTTTTTTTTTTTTGGTGTGTGTGTGTGTGGTGACAGAAAGCTGACTACCAGTGTCCCTGATGACTAGGGCACACTCTCAGGTGACTTCGGCAGCTCAGTCCCTCCTGAGTCCTGTCTGTATGGACTCCTCCCCAAGGTCTGGTAAGAACTGGAGTCAATTAGGACACTTGCATTTTTTCTATAACCAAGAGCTTAGGGACTTGTCTGTATCTGTTCTGTGGAATGTAGAATGATATCCTACTTATTGCTCTAGAGCTCAAAGACAGACATAAAAAGGTTAGAGTGTTGTCAGATCACAGAAGTTCACCTGCTATTTTTGTTGTTGTTTTTCCTGGTGTCCTCAACTGAAGCTTAGGACTCAGAAAACTGTTTGCATTAACACATGTCTGAGCACAACAAGAACTGGCAGAGATTACAGGGAACTAGAAACTCTGGGTGGGCAAGGTATGCCTCTGGCAGGGGGTCTGCCTCTGTTTGTGCATACATTCCTTATGCGTTCTGTGTAATGTTTCTTTGCTTTGGCAAGGTAGATATACATGCCTTTTCTTTGTGAGTTTTTTCTGGTGTGTGTGTGTGTGTGTGCGTGTGTGTGTATGATATGTAATTGGTTCCCAGCCTTTTCCATTCTAGACCCAGAACATACAACCCTACGTAGACTCGTGTTAAACAAGAGCAGGCCATTAATGTGTGCATTTTGAAATCTCCTAATCAATCCTGTTGATCTCAAAATATTTTCCACACGTTCCTTTATAACGCTCACATTTTCCTTTATGAATCGATATCTTGGTTAAGCAGATGGGATTGCAGAATCTGAGGAAGACAGATACATTCAGCAATGTGGAGCATACATTTTTCCATTTGCTCATGACAGCAACAGGAAGGAGGTTTTACAACCTCTACTTAGTGTGTGGTCTTGCATGTTTTCTGAGGGAAAAGTGTGTATTATTACATGTGTTTGAGACTTGTAGTGTGTGTGTACTTGTTCTTTGTTTTATTTGTGGGTGATGTTTATACGCTAGAGGCTCTGAATGAAAGAGGTTCCAGTAGTTTACTGACTGACCTATGCTGAGTACAGATCAGAGGGGTTGGGAACCTTATTCTGCAGTGGAGGAGTGTGTGTGTGTTTGTGCGTGCATGCACACATATAGTATTTATTGCTGGATTGGGAAGAAGCATGTACGTGTACTTTGTATGTTTTTATACAATTTTTGTGTGACATATGTGACTTTGTGTTTTTACTAAGTATGTGTGTTTGCTGTGGATTTATTTCTTTACTTTGAAAGAAAAGTTTTACCAATGTGTTAATATTTAAAAGGCAGACAGATGCACTGTACAGGCTATAAAGTAATAAAGGAGTCTTATACAATTAAAACATTACACAGACATATGGGATTTATTGAATAACTACTAGATCCGGAAAAGAAATTAAATCTGAAAGACTAAATCTGGTATTAGCACCTACAGTATCTCTGAAAATAAAACTTTTAACTGCTTCATTTTTTCCTAATATATTTCTAATATATTTCTTAACTTTCTCTCAAGTACAGTGCTCTCAAACCTCGAAAAGAATGAAGGCCATCAGAAACCCAGAACTAAGAATATGCCTGTGTCTTCATAAATGGTAATTTCAGTACTCAAACTCCTCTCTCAGTGGGGTCTGTTAGGAAGCTTTGGGGAACATACGTCTTTTTGTTCTGCTCGTGAATGCACTTGGATTTCTTCAGAACCTTCTCATAATGGGTTTCCATGCATAAGAAGATGGTATAAGCTATTAAACAAGCCAAACAGCCTTGGAGATAGGATTGGCCCCGAGTGTCTCTGCTTCAGCCTAAAGGTTATTTAGAGTTCTCTGATTCTTCAAACTGCAGCCTGTCAGGCAGCTTCTCAGGCTCCGCAGGGAACTTGGTTTGGAACCAGCAGCGCGTGCCACTGCTGTAGTCACCCTGAATAAACACCTTCCCGACACCAGCGCCCGCTGGATCCCACGGCGAGGCCGGACCCGCCCGCTGCGAGCTCTGAGAGCGAGGCAGCAGGGGTCAGATCCCCTTCTGGACCAGAGACCCCGGCCCGCCAGCCCCTCGAGCCCGCCCACTGCCCGAGGAAGCTCACAGTCTTCCCCCTGCCCACGCAGCTGCAGCGGCTGTCAGCCACCGCCCCGACCCAGGCCCCGTCCCCCACCCCACCGCGCACCCATCCGCACCCCCTTTCCGGTCCGGCCTGGGAAACCCCTGATGTGAACCGATGTACAATGTATGAGTTTAAACCTCTGATATGTGATTTTTATATTCCTGATTGTGTTATGTTTGTGTTAAGATTCTGTAAGTGTTTTTGTGTGTCTGTGTAAGTTATCTGTGTTTTATGTATCAAGTCTTGTGCACTTTTTGTGAGTTTTGGTTTACGACTTTGTGGATAACTGAGTCCTATAACCGCTCTTAGGATCCGCGTCAGTTACAAACGGTAAAAAGTCATAAATCAGCATTTAAGTGTGTTTATGTGTAGGGGTGTGTTTCATTTCTGGGTTTTAGGGACTCATAATTGGCCTTTATATGACCTCAGGTGTTTGCTTAAGGGTCTTCCAACAGTTATTTTCCCACACTGAGCAGGCAGGTTCGCACGTGCTTTTATCACCGTGCAGCTCATCTCTGAGGGGTAACAGCTCAGTTTCTGTATTGTCATACGTGGGGCCAGTCCTCAATCTGGCCCTTGCACATTTTTGTGACCCTGGGAAGTGACTTAGCTCTCTGAGATTCAGCTTCCTCACTAGGAAAGGAAGCTTAACTAGTCCTACCGTTTTATGTTTGCAATATTGGAGACAGAATCCAGGGCCGTCTCACTAAATTACCCCAACTCTTTTTTAAACTTTTAATTTTGAGACAGGATATCGCTAAGTCGCTGAACTGTCCAGGCAGGGCTCGAACTTGCGGTACTCCTTCCTCACCCTCCTAGAGTGCTGGGACTACAGGCATGTACCACCAGCCCCCGGTAGTGCTACTTTGTAATACTATTTTGACCAATAAGTGAACCAGTATATACGAATTATCCAGTACCAGGGATACGTGGTGATCAGTAAAAAGTAGGTAGTTTGGTTGTCTTTCCCAAAATCTAATGTTTGTGTTATGGAGGCTCCTTATTTCAACATTGTCTCAGGAAGAACAGATAGAAGTCAGAGAAAACTGCCCTCTCCAAAGGTTTCCTTTCACACCTCAGTACTACAACTGACCTTTTCATGACTCCAAGGTCCATCTGTTTTTCTGTGAGATCCCGGTTCCTCCTTGGTTCTCACCCTCTGGCATTTTCTGGTTTCCTGGAGAGAACTGACATGTCAGTGAGAAGCCAGGACACCACATCAGCATTCTGCCACTACCTTCCTTGGTGGCCATGGACTGAGATAACCCACATCTTTGTGAAAGTCCCTGAGAACAACTTATTGTCATGCTCCTTTACATGATATTCCTTCTTTCAGTTATGTGTTTAGTAATCCTAACCTCCAACTTAACTTCCTAGGCAAAGAAGTATTGAATCTAGAATTTACTATCAATCAGCTGAGTGACCTTGAGTGGATCATTTGTGGCTGGATGTTTCATATCTATGAAATGAATATTATATTTATCTTGTGCACCATAAGGTCTCAGAATATATATTTATTTTTTTGAAAGAAGTTTAAGTACAGTATATGAAAGTCTTGGAAATGCATGATGTGAGTAGTAAATTTTTCTAAGCAAGGAGTTAAGGACATTTGGACAACGGTGGTGGACATAATACAGTGTCTTTGGATATTCTGATGACTCAGAAGTGTGATTCTTTTTTTGTTGTTGTTTTTCTTCTGGTACCGGAAATCGAACTCACGTACTTGAGCTTGCCAGGCAGGCACTTTGCCGCTGAGCTAAATCCCCAGCCCCAGAAATGCGATTCTTGTTAGGAGTGTTTAAGAGCATGGATTCTGTCAGACAGATATATATCAGGATTCTACTTATTATATACTAAGTTGTATATTTAAATACTCTATGATTTTACTTTTTTCATTGTTAAATGAGTATAATACCTATTTATGAAGGTGATGCGGAGGATTTCATCAGAAAGTACACATCTGGCACTGTTATTAATTTAGTTTGGAAACTTGGCATGGACCTTTTTAGTTGCATAATTTTAAGTGTCTGAGAATAGGCAGGATCTAGCCAATGGCACTATTACCTGAACAAAGCTTTGGTGACTAAGCCTTAGTAGTTTTGTTCTAATTTAGGCAGTTTAACATTACTTTTAAAGGAGATAACTGGTAACCATCATTTCATTTTCTGTTTTTATGTATTTGATATTTTAGGCACCACAAGTAAGCAAGATTACACCATATTTTTTATGTCCCACTAAAAGAAGCTAGGTTATGCCACAGAAAACAAAGTGAATACATAATACTCAGCAGTTTAAAAATGAATGATACCCATTTCCTGGTGCCTAGTTCATATTTCAGAGTAAATTACTGAGATCTGAATTTGGCTTGTTATAAAGATATAAACTCCTTCTATGCAGAAACTTTGCACTTCTTGTTCACTGCTATGTATGTAAGTACTCAGAACAGGGGTGTAGTGACTGGGGATAAGCCTGCTGCTAAATAAATACACAGTAACTAAAGAATTAGTGACCTTTTGTTTCTTTGAAAAGACTTGTTTAATGTGAGGGTTTGATGGATCATTGGAGCTAGAATGGGAAGATTTATGATTCATGCAACAAATGTGAGAAATAAACAGAAGTAAAGCTGAGAATTTTCACACTAGAAGGGAAATTGCTATAATGTTATGGCTATGTTCACTGTCATCTTTCACCTTCCTCAATCCCCAACAGACAGCAGAGCAGTATGAAAAGGGAGAACCAGAGCAGCGTGTCCGAGTTCCTCCTCCTGGGGCTCCCCATCCGGCCAGACCAGCAGGCTGTGGTCTTCGCCCTCTTCCTGCTCATGTACCTGACCACGGTGCTGGGGAACCTGCTCATCATCCTGCTCATCAGGCTGGACCCTCGCCTCCACACCCCCATGTACTTCTTCCTCAGCCACTTGGCCTTCTCTGACATTTCCCTTTCCTCTATCACAGTTCCAAAACTGCTGGTGAATATTCAGGCTCAGCAGCAATCCATCTCCTATGAGGAGTGCATTTCTCAGATGTATTTTTTTGTTCTTTTTGGCTGTCTTGACAATTTCCTCCTTGCGGTGATGGCCTATGACAGGTATGTGGCTATCTGTCATCCACTGCACTATGTTACTGTCATGCGAGAGAAGCTGTGTGCCTTGTTAGTAGCAGGGTCCTGGTTTTTCTGTTGTGTCCATGCCCTGTTGCACACCCTCCTCTTGGTCCAACTGTCCTTCTGTGCTGAAAATATTATCCCCAACTTCTTCTGTGACCTCACTGCTCTCCTGAAGCTGAGCTGCTCAGACATCTCCCTCAATGAGCTGGTCATCTTCACCGAGGGAGGTATGCTTTTCGTCTTTCCTTTAAGTAGTATTCTGGGCTCTTATATCCGTATAGGGACCACTGTCCTGAGGGTTCCCTCCACTAAGACAGTCTATAAAACCTTTTCTACTTGTGGTTCCCATCTGTTTGTGGTATCGTTATACTATGGGACACTTGCAGGTGTTTACTTTTTCTCTTTCTCACAGAACTCCAGTGACAGGGACATAATTGCTTCTGTTATTTATACAGTAGTTACGCCCATGCTAAATCCCTTCATCTATAGCCTGAGGAACAAAGATATGAAACAGGCCCTAGAAATGTTTGTTTACAAGGCCAATTTCTATAAGTGACACTTGTTTCATTTATTTCATTCATGAGTTCTCTGAAGTCCATTTCCTAAAATTATCATATAGTTGGCAACTCCATACAGTTTTAAAGTAATATGTGTTCCGTTTTATATGTTCAGTGCTCTTAATGTCAGGTAGATCAAATTTGTTACATGGCTTGTTATATCTTTTCTCATCTTAATTAATTTTTCTTGTTTATCATCTATTGTAAGACATGTAAAATTTTAGACAAAACACATCAAACCATTGCAGTTGTGGATTTGTTCTTTTCTCTTTTTAGATAGGTCACGTTTTGCTTATGTATTTTTAAAACTTTGTAATAGAGGACACAGAAATTCTGCATGATAATTTAATTCTAGGGGGAGGATGTTCTGATGCAGTGGTGTGCTGAGGTGAACTGAAGTTCACTATGATTATCCCTTCCCAGCTCCATAGTTATGACAATTGTGTTGCTGCTTTGAAATCAGTCATCCTGGGGATAATTACACCGTGAAAGTGTCAAATCCTACAGACATTCATTATTTATTTGGCAGCACACCACTGCATTTAGAATTAGAGGATAATTCACTTAATTTTTATTGATGGCTTCTACCTTATTATCTCATCTACTTTCGGTATGAGCATGGATATAGCAGTTATTTTAGGATGAGTGATTACACGTTTCTTTTCCATCATTTTACTTAAAGTTTTCTATGTCCTTATCTACTGAAATGTTCATTGTAAACAATATAAAATTGAGTTTTTATCTTCTCATGTACATTACTGGTTTCCTGGGAAACTTGGTGTACTGTATTTTTATTCAATGTAATCATGATAAATTTGAGTTTATATTTTCCTTTTCACTTTCTATCTTTTATTAGTATATGTTTGTCATACATAATGGTTACATTTTTGTGTGGAGTTGGTACATGTACATATCACATATTAATTCTTTTTTTTATTTTAACAATAAAAGGAGGAAAACATTAACAGACAGACAACCTTTTACAAAATAGCAAAACAACAGTACAGACAATACAGAGTTACAAAGTGGTAGGAAATTAACAATGCTTGTTGTATTACATACTGATATCTTCAAAGTAGTTTCTCATGAAAACAGATAGAGACATGCAATATTGATCAATCAAGGACTCATTGACA